AGAAAGAAGTTCTATGCAGTGAGTTTGTGGTTTAATGGTCACAAAAATGTTAGCACTGCTACCACTCAGCACGTGTACAATTTTTTAAATTTATAAATATTAAAATTTTAAACTTACACTAAGACTTTTCAGTTTTTTTTAAAGACCCAGGGATGAGTGTACTGTTTAAATATTTACCTCTATTAACATAACTAATGAAGGTATAAAGTTGCATTTAGTTTTTCAGAAGATGCTGCAATATGATTTTAGGAAATAAGGCTATGTATTGAGCCAGTTACAGGCTGAGTATCAAGTTGATAAAATTTTATTTGTATTTTTAAAGTTCATAAGTGGGAGTTAAAAATGTGTCTTTTCACTAAATATTTTTATTACATTTTTGTTTTGACCATGTGTGATTTGTTCATTGGTATTTAGCTAGACTGTTTCATGAAACTCATTGAAATGGTGCTGGTTTGTTTAACATTATAGGACGATTGATACTGGGGACATTACATAGTCCTAAAATAATTTTAAATTTAAAAAAATGAAGACATCTGTACAGATAAAAATCAAGATTTTCATTACCTTCTGGGAGAACTCCTGGCACTTACAGAATATCCAGTATTAAAAGTAGGAAAATTTTATCTACATTTTATCATATTTACATCAGCCCACAGTCTTAGAAACAATTCCATAGTTACTAGTTAAATCATTAGATTTGGCGCATATTTAGTAAATACTTTTAGCAGTTTGAGTCATTGTTTTTGGCCTTTCAGGGGAAGTGGAGAATTACCATCTTAACGTGTGCTAGACAGACCCACCCTTTGCTCAGTGTTAAATCCTGTAAACATATGAAGTGAAAAGTTAATTTTTAAAGAAAATACATTTTTAAAATGTTCATTTTTAACCTGAATTTGCTTTGAATATTCTTTGATTTGTAATGTTGTTATTTAGGTTATATTGAGATTTATCCCACTCCAAAGGTGGATAAAGAAAAGTTATTTAAGAAAACCAATTACAGTGTAGTTTGAATTTTTGTTTTTCTTTCATTACCAGGTGTGGGGCCATACACACAGGCTAATCATCTGTCATTTGAGAGCCACAGATGATTTCAAAGGTCCCAAATATATAAAAATCTATAGCTTTAAAAAAAGACATCTTTAATGGTGCTCTCCAAAAATACAATCGGTTTATATTGAGTGGCTTCTGAGTGACTCCTTTGACATGCGATTAGCTCATGGAACCGTTTTGTTTGTTAAACACAGGATCCCAGATTGGGTCTTGTGCATTCTATGAAATCTCAAATGGCAGTTTAGTTTGACTTTCTTTTAAAACTAAGTGGAAATGGCATATTTGGTGAAATTAATGAAATAATCTTTTGCTGGGAAATTCCACACAGCACCTCCGGCAGCATTCTGTCTCAGTTCTGGCATGTAATTCAACCTCCTACCCAGTGTCCTTGTAAATTATTCTTAATATTTAGCATGAGAGTGAACTGAGATAAGTCATTGATGTTTCCCAGAACAAAGTGAAACAAATAGGATGTGCTAAACATTTCTATTCCCATAGTAGTGAGCAGTTTTCTTCTGTTTTCATAATGGTCACCTCTGCCTACTTTACCATCTTAGACTTCAAATACTGCTTTAAGTAAACCCAAGATGTATTGAGTAGTGGAACTTCTTATTTGTACACTTGTTTATAACTGCACTGCCCTGGAAGTTATGATTATGTCTGAGGACTGACCTGGTAAAGCTACTTGAACTGTTAGAGTGCAAGGCAGAAGCAGACCTAGATTCAATTCCTTACTAAGTTACTCAGGGCTTACATTAATTTCCACAGGTCTGTTGTCCATATCATGAGCTCATGAGTGTTCTTCCCAAAGAAAAAAATTAAAACAGTGATAGATTAAATATAGTAGTAGATGCTCAATAAATTTCATTGTATTTAAAGATTACTTCTGAAAACACATTTCATTAGATAAATGTATCCTAACACTAAGTCAGATACCTAATGGTCAATTGCTTTTAAATACATAGTGTAATATCTTCATACGGATACAGCGTGATAAGACTAACCACAACCACTCTAGGGATATTGGGGCAGAGTTAACCATATTATTTACTATATTTTGTTTTAAATGAGAAAATGGATCTATTTATGTCAACTATCTTAGTCTGTTCTATTTAAATCAACCATCTTAGTCTGTTTGTGTTGTTAGAGTACCTGAGACTGAAGAAAAGAAACTTATTTCTCACATTTCTGTAGGCTGCCCTTCACCTTCCATCATGTGGAAGAAGCAAGAAAGCTGTCTGTCACCAGATGCTGGCAAAAAACAATCAACTCCCTCCTTCAAGCCCGTTTGTAATGGGACCTGATTTCATTCATAAGGGAGGAATTCTCTTGGCCTAATCACCTCTTAAAGGCCCCACCTCTTCATACTGGCCCATTGGTAACACTTGAATTTTGCAAGGGGCTATTCAAACTACAACAACGATTTTATTTTCTGCTGAATATGCCCCTGTTATTTCTACAACAATGGAAAAATCCTAACACTGATAACCAAAGTGAGTTTCATGCATTAGTAGTTTTTAAAAAATTATTGTTGTTAAATAAGTTTTGAGAAATAAAACAGGTTTCTTTAGTGCATTAAGTTGAAGGCTTTAATACATGAATGCCTATTGTGAAACTCAGAAGAATTTAATCAGATTTTCCTTATTTTATTTAATACAGTCTTTTCTCAAATTACTTTCTAGGACTAGAAATCTAAGGAATATCCTTTGCAGCATGCTTAGGATAATCTGAGTAACTGTGATAAAGCACTCAAACAATACAAGAAAAACAAACACCTAAATCTATTTTTGTAATTACAGGTAATTTCTTTATTGTTAAGAAGAACTGAGTCTAGTGTGGTTTGTTTTTTGTTATTTTGAAACGGGAGACGCCCTCTGTTACCCAGGCTGGAATGCAGTGGCGTGATTGCGCCTCATTGCAACCTCCACCTCCTGGGTGTGAGCGATTCTCCTGCCTCAGCCTCCCAAGTAACTGGGAATACAGGTGTGCACCACCACACCCAGCTAAGTTTTGTAACTTTAGTAGAGATGCAGTTTCGCCATGTTGGCTAGGCTGGTCTCAAACTCCTGACCTCAGGTGATCAGCTCGCCTCAGCCTCCCAAAGTGCTGGGATCACTGGTGTGAGCCCCCACACCTGGCCCTGAGTCTACTTTCCTTTCTTTTGTGCACCACTTCTGAAGAGAAGCATATGAACAAAAATCATTGGTGAATACAAAAGGAAAATTGCTGAATTGAAATTGATCTGAAAGCATCCTTCATGTCCAATTTAACTGGACAAAATTTTCCCTTTAATGAGAATGAGTATTCCTTTAATATTTTACATGTTCATGATTTGCAAAAACCATTAAGTTACAATGCATAGGTTCCACCAGGAAAACATTTACTGTATTACTGTCATGCTGTCTGAGCAATCAGCTCTAGTGAAGGTAAGAAAAAAAAACTCTAACATCTGTGGTCACTTTAATAGTAAAAATAGGATATAGTAAAATACATGAAGATAACATGTCTTACACGCTATTAAAGCAATGGAAGCTTTGAAAGCTTAAAATGATCTGTTTCAGACTCAATTTGATTGAATGTAAACCTCTGTTAAAGTAATTATAAGCTAAGGTTTTGTTTATTGAACACCACCTCCGTAAAAAATGCACTTATAAAAGTTGGTTATTGTTTCTTGGTTTGTGATCATTTCTTTTAGTTTGTTTTATATATTTTCTTCCTGATCCTTTTCCAGAATACACTTGATCTTGAAATATTTGGTTAATAGACTTGTCATCAATTCAAAACAATCGAAGTCACAATGTAGCATGGGTTATTATAAACTGGAAACAGTTCTTAAAATAGAAATTATAGTACACCCAACATTATAAGCCTGCTGTTTCATGAACTACTTACTGACTGGCATCATTTGCCAGCTGAACAGTTCGTTTATATCCTTACCTTATACCAGAAAGGATTTTCAAATTGCTTAGCAGAATATAGCTTAGCAAGATCACGAAAGTGGTAAAGAAAATGGAGGAAAGGGAGGTAGGAGCATAATATAGATTGATATCTTGGGGAATTGAAAACAAATACTTTGTATCACTTACAATTTGATAACTGCCAAAACCTAAGAAAACCTCGTAATAATCAGTGCCTGTGTGTGCCAGATAATTAAGGTATTGTTGACAAAAATCGTATATACTTAACAGTGCTAGATGTCTATATATATATATATATATATATATATATATATATATCAATGCACTCAACACTGAGGACTCTGAGGACTCTTAGGTTTTGGCAGTTATCAAATTGTAAGTGAATCTTTAAAGACTAGCGAGTTTTAAAGATTCCCCCCACCCCGCGCCAATCCTATAAATTTTACCAAAGCCTCAATTTGATGTCAACATTTAAAGTCAACGTTTTGATTTGATTAAAAGACTGAGTAGACGATAGACCAATGAAGCCTTGACTTTAAAAACCTACATGATTCAGTGCAAAACAGTAGGTTTAACTTTAGGATCTTAAATTTATTTTATTTTTTGATATAGTGTAGTGGAATTTAGTGGCCCGATCTCGGCTCACTGCACCGTCGCCTCCCGGATTCTCCTTCCTCACCGCACCCCCCGCCCCCGAGTAGCTGCGTTTACAGGCGCACGCCACTACACCCGGCTAATTTTTGTATTTTCAGTACAGACGGGGTTTCACCATGTTGGCCAGGCTGGTCTCGAACTTCCTGACCTCAGGTGATTTCCCCCCCCCCTTGACCTCCCAAAGTGCTGGGATTACAGGTGTGAGCCACCGCGCCCGGCCAGGACCTTAAATTTTTGTTGCCGCCGTTCTTAGAGGCAACTGATGAGACATGTGAGGGAACGACACCGGGCTGGATACAACCCCCAGGGTCGAAAGCGCGGGATTGAGGCGCTGCCAGCAGACTGCCTGACTTCCCCAAGCACCCAGGCGAGTGCGCCTGCGCCTGTGTCGGCGCCTGCGCGAGCGCGACTCTGTCCAGCCCCTCCCACTGCTCACGGCTGGTCAGGGTGACTGCGCACGCGCCTGGTGAGTGGCGGGTTTGGGCGCGGACTTGGGGTTCACTGCGCGCAGCCCTGGGGTTTTGGACTGGGTTAGGTTCCTTTTGCTTGTTAATCACCTTTTCCAGCACTGTAGTGGTGGAAAGCTTTAATTGACGGTGGCTAGCGGATGCCTGAGGAAAGGAGCTGGCGCCGGCCTGAGAGGGGACCCTGGTTGCTGATTGGGCGCGGCCGGGCCTCGTGTCCTGGTCGCCGGAACCGGCCGCGTCCTCTGCCGCGCACGTTTGGCGCCCGGGCCTTAGACAGCGTTGGTGCCGAGAGGGAAATTAACCCCAGGGAGGCAGCGCGTGGAGGCCTCCCTTCCGAGCAGAACTGGACTGGGCCCCGTCCTTTCCATCTTTGCCCTCAGAAGTTCGCTGATAGAGTTTGCGAAATGCCCGGCCAGGCTTTACTGTCCGCTCCTGGAGGGCGGGTATCCGCAGCGCCGGTCGCTGGGGCTTCTGAGGCGGGTGCCGAGGCGGGTGCCCGGGCTCGGGAGGTGGAATGGACTAGGACGCGGGCGGCTTTACTGGGAAAAGTGTCGTAGCTTCGGAGGTGCGGGAGAAATGCTGGGATGTTCGTGGGTCTCTACCCGGAGGGAGCCACGTGTCAGACAGGAAGGTCTTCCTGATAGGTGGGGGTTGTGATGGGGTGTACGTTACAACGTCGCACTGCACACCTACGACCTGCATTTAACTGTAAGCGTTACCTCCTTTTAAAAGTTAATTTTAAAATAACAGAAATAAATAGAATTTTGAAAAGCAAGAGAGAACTGTTTGAGGCAGGGGGACCGAAAGATGCAAAGAGAATGAAAAACTTTGGCCCTTTTCTAGACGTAAATTGGATTAAGGGTAGAGTCATACAGCAATCTACAAAAAGTATGAGAATATCTAGGCCTTCCCCATTCCTAGAGGGAGCATTGCTCTCCTGCGGTTTCCTGGAGTCTGGAGTGGCTCCTAGGTTAATGCTCTTTCTGCTAGATCACACTGTCTTAACCTAATTTCACACGAGAATGATTGTGGAAATTACAGTATGGTGGTTTTGCCCTAAGTAAATTTGATAACATGGAAATTGAATAATTGTATACAAAAAGAGACTAATCACAGCCCATCAGAAGCTGGCTAATCCCTGCTTACGCTGCAAGCCAACATGTTCGCCCCTTTGCTCATGGTGTTCCATCTTTACCTTTTCCTCAGGCCGAGTTGAAGCTCCACCTGCTCTTTCACGCCTCTCCCCACTGGCCCTCTACTCTGATCCCATGGTGTGAATGGTGCTGCTCTGTAGAGGGCCTCCACCTTACCGTTGGTGTTCGCCATGTGTCTGCCTAACCTAGAGTTTCTCAACCGCAGCTTATAGGGCAGGATACTTTGATGTGGAGCGCTGTCCTGTGAATTTTAAGTTCAGCAGCCTCTATGCCAGTAGCAACCTCCTTTCCACTTATGGCAACCAAAACTGTCTCCAGGCATTGCCAGATGTCAAAAGGGCTCCTGGTTCTGTGAGAACTGCTGATAGAGAGTGTGAGCCACATAAGGTCCAGGATTAGTTTAATAATAATATAATCACAATATAATCCATAGGTAAAAATTTTTAAAGAAAAAAAATTTTTTTAACTGCCACTTGTGGTGCAGGGCTCCCCCATAGACGGTATGCCCAGAGTAGCCATAAAAATTTTTAAAAATAATGGTAGTATAACAGTACTTAACAGCACTTTTGGATTTGAAAAAATCTTGCAACCCCCCCTTAGAAATTCTAAAAATAATAAAGATATGATAAAAATAGTAACTTAAAACATAGCTAAAAATAGGTTGATTTCGTTTAAGTGTTTTTTTTTTTTTTCAGATGGACTCTCATTCTTGTGGCTCAGGCTGGAGTGCAATGGTAAGATCTCTGTTCACTGCAACCTCCACCTCCCTGGTTCAAGTGATTCTCCTGCCTCAGCCTCCCGAATAGCTGGGACTGCAGGCACCTACCACCATGCCTGGCTAATTTTTTGTATTTTTAGTAGAAACGGGGTTTCACTATGTTGGCCAGGCTGATCCCAAACTCCTGACCTCAGGTCACCTGCCTGCCTCAGCCTCCCAAAGTGCTGGGATTACAGATGTGAGCCACCACTCTCGGCCATTTCATTTAATCTTTAATGTTTATTTTGCTAACAGATTTCATTTACTTCATTAGAAGAAATGATGCACTTTTGAACTCACTTTAACAATGTAGGAAACATTCTATGATTTCTAAAATTGCCACCCATGCTCTCCATGTGTTCCTCCATTAATCTTATTGTCATTTAACATTCATTTCATATGTATTGTTTTAGTCTGTCTCTCCCTCTCTAGAATGTAAGTTCCAATAGAATAAGGACTTCGAGACTAATCACCAAAAACAGTGCTTCCTACATGGTAGAAAATGATCATCAAAGGAATGGATTTGATACACTTTAAACTTTTTTGGGGGATCAAATTCTTATATAGGTTGGAACTTAATTGCCTTTTACAGCTATGAAGGTAGACAATTTTAGGCCTGGCACAGTAGCTCATGCCTGTAATCCCAGCACTTTGGGAGGCAGAGGCAGGCAGATCACGAGGTCAGAAGGTCAAGACCATTCTGGCTAACAGGTGAAACCCCATCTCTACTAAAAATACAAAAAATTGGCCTGGCGTGGTGGCTCATGCCTGTAATCTTAGCACTTTGGGAGGCTGAGGTGGGCGGATCACGAGGTCAAGAGATCGAGACCATCCTGGGCAACATGGTGAAACCCCATCTCTACTAAAAATACAAAAATTAGCTGGGCCTGGTGGTGCGAGCCTGTATTCCCAGCTACTCGGGAGGGTGAGGCAGGAGAATCACTTGAACCAGGAAGTCAGAGGTTGTGGTGAGCCGATCGTGCCATTGCACTCCAGCCTGGTGACGGAGTGCACACACCTGTAGTCCCAGCTACGTGGGAGGCTGAGGCAGGATAATCGCTTGAACCTGGGAGGCAGAGGTTGCAGTGAGCCAAGATCATGCCACTGCACTCCAGCCTGGACGACAGCGAGACGCAGTCTCAAAAAAAAAAAAAAAAAAAAAGACAATTTTATTAAATTGCTCTTTGGAATTCCTTGTTTGAAGTCAACTGGTTCTTTGCTAATTTTCATGTTTTATTTCTAAGTGATTAGCTAACAAGTTACAGGCTGTTACTTAAAAATCCTTCTTCAGAGGTGCAGCTGTAGAAAGTACTAATAAAAATGAAATTGGCTGAGCATGATGGCTCATGCTTGTAATCCTGGCACTTTGGGAGAACAAGGTGGGTGGATCACTTGAGTCCAGGAGTTTGAGACCAGCCTGGGCAACGTGGCGAGACCTCCATCTCTACAAAAATTAGCTGGGCATTGTTGGGTGCACCTGCTACTCAGGAGGCTGAGGTGGGAGAATTGCTTGAGCCAGGGAATTTGAAGCTGCACTGAGCCACGATCGCACCACTGCACTCCAGCCTGGGCAACAGAGTGAAACCTTCTCTCAAAAAAAGAGTTACTTCTATGTCAAGGATAAATACATATGCATATGTGTGCATGTATTATGTGTCTGCATATGTATATGGACACACATGTATATACACAAACACACTTTAATTTTTCTGTCAGTTCTAGGCAGTATTGTAGTGCAGTCTTTATTAGGAACTTTGTACTCTTCGATTTTGCCAGGCAACACTGGTTTTTAATAGTTTCCTGATTTTTTTCCAGAATGAAAAGAACTCACAATTCTGAAATACCAAAGTGAAACCTTTCAGTTGTCTGCAGATCATTTTGCCATGTTTTCTCAGTTCAGCATGCAGACAAGCTAATCTTTGGAATTTCTACTTGGAAATTTTCCAGCCTGTTAGGTCCTGGTATGCTTTCCTGGAAATGTGTTCTTTGTGCTTATTGCAGTAAACTAGAACTATTCATTTCAAGCATTTATACCATTTTTTGGTGGGACTTCTATAGTCAACATCTGTGTTGACTGAAATTATTTTTAATTCTAAGTATGTAACCTTAAAAGTATATAATCCATCTCTTTTCATCTTATAAAACTAAATAATATACCCATTAAGCAACTCCCTATTCTTCCCTCCCTCCAGCCCCTAGCAACCACAATTCTACTTTCTGTCTCTGATTTTGACTACTCTAGGTACCTCATATAAATGGAGTTACGCAGTTTTTTTTTTATTTAATGACTGGCATATTTCACTTAGCATAATGTCCTCAAGGTTTATCTGCATTGTAGCATATATCAGCATTTCCTCCTTTTTCAAGGGACTTATATTCCTTTTTCCTGTGTTTATGCTTGCTGATTCTTTCTTTTGCCTGCTCAAAACTGCTTTTAATTCTTCTAGTGAGTTTTTCATTTCATTACATTTTTCAGCTTCAGTATTTCTACTTAGTTTCCTTTTGTTTTCTGTCTCTATGTTTTCATTTTGTTCATTTATCTTTTTTTTTTTTT